CAGATCATTAAAACCTGAGAGCTGAGTTGAATGTCAACCATACTTGGCTATGTCTTTGGGGGGCCTCAATTGACAGTATAGTTTGTGGCTCTCTATCATAATCCCCATGGCTAGTGGATACTGAGACTTAGGAGATGAGACTGTACCATTGTTGTTTGGCGTTTGTGTATTTTTGAGGGTAATTGGGGCGCTCCAAGAGGGGCAGAATTCACAAACATTGGAACCAAAGTGGTAGAGACCTGAGGATCCAATTGATCCAGCATAGCTGGAAGAGAAGTTTGGGTCAATCGTGGACACATCAGTGCCTGGGAGATCGTAATCCTTCTCGAATGGACAGTTTCGACGTCAAAATGTTGAGCATTTGCCTTGGGCGTTGCTGGTCATATAGCAGTAACTCGGTTGGTTACTCACGGTGCATGGAGGTCTCATTGGGTGTATTTTTCTGTTGTTTCAATCTCAGATTAACGAATGTATGGCCAGAATGCTAATGCTACATATTCTGGCCTTCGTATACGGCATTTGTTGTTGTTATGGACTTAGGGCTGGTCTACACACACATTCAATGGGGCAATATCACTGACAAAGCGTTCAAGAGTGTTGTGTGATCTGTGGGGTCATCGGGCCAAAACATTGGAAGCTATTTGACACACAAGTTTGGACCTACCTCAGGTGTCCCTCAAGTATTAATTTTAAGGTTACCTTGTTGTTGTTAGTATTAGAGAATTTATGTGCTTCTTAAAAAACAGCCCTAAATTCAGAATATATCTGTATTAATGTCCTCAAACAATTTCAATTTACAACCAGTGATTAAATGTTTCATGAAACTGTGATTCTGGCCACTAAACTCATCCTCTGTGGCTTGTAAGAGCTTTCAGTGCAACGCGGAAACACCAGAAGGTCTTTCAGTTTGTCAAGCACATCATGCTAATCAGCAGCAAGTTGAATCACATCTTCTTCCGATGAGAGGACAAGTACTGCTCCCAGCGTGGGTTTGAAAAACATACACGGGGAGGCAACTAGTGGAGGTCGATCAAATACATTGGTAGGATTTCATTGACATGGACAATTGATGACCTTCAATCACGTAAGCTTACACTAATCTCCTCCGCCATGTCTAAGAAGGAACATCTGGCAGAGGTGTTTCGTTACAAAAAGGGTTCTATCTCTTAATGTTAAAACCTAACATCCTAATTTCAGCTGATTTATGAAAGGATCAGAACCCTAAATAGCCTACCCTCGAGTAGTGAGGGAAAGGGCCCAAAGGCTAATGATCGGCCGGAGTCTGTTAACACACACACCACGGCTACCAGATGGTCAAAATGCCTTGATGTTAACTCGCCAAAGCGAATTGCCGAAAAAAGAAGAAGATTAGAAAAGATCAGAAGATAGCAATGTATGTAGTGTGTTATATAGTGATCTGTGGGCTCAGTGTGAGTTTTGGGTGAGCGAGATGGGGAACGGAGGGGAATGGATAAGGGTACAAGCAAGCAAGTCAATGGCCACTTAGTCATCATCTTATGTACCCCTTGCTCACCTATGGTAGTTGTGCATGGCTTACAACAATTAACCATACTCAACCACTAATTACCAACAAAAGGCTGCAGTTGAATGATAACAAATTCCTCACTACAGCAGACACACGAGGGGGGGGGGGGGGGGGGGGGGTGGGGGTGGTGGGGCCACCAATTATGCTATAACAACTAAACCTACTCTCCTTTCAAAACATCCATACTTATTACTTCACACTATTACTTACATAGTACCACTTAAACGCCTGATATTAACCCTCCCCCAAACCCCCAACTAACCCCCCCCGCCCCATCTTACATCTCTGGCCACCTCAACAAACATCATGACAATAAACTCAAGAGCACAGATCACTCTTTGATGTTCCTCGACTGTCCATCGCACTCTGATGCAAAAACCATGCACATAAAAGGCCCTAAAATCTGGACATTCATTACCTGTAAATATAAAAGAAGCCTACCTGTTATAAATTCAAGTCTCTTGTCATACAGATCACTTACTCACCCAAAAACCAAATAAAATACTGAATAACTGTACATTATAAATTGTTTACTAAATGGTTCTCACAATTATATCACATAAATGTTAAATCCTAAAACCCCAATCTAACTTAAATATTGTTTTACATACATCTACCTAACAGAATCACTAACTAACTGAATGCAACCCATAAGAAACCCTTCTTCATGTTTCGCACTTGTGACTTTTAGTTATCTGTTTACATTATAATGTTTAAT